TCCCAGAACTCAACGCGGCGTTACATCACATTCTCATTCTTTATAGCGGCTAATGAACCGGAAGTGGGGGAGGGTCAAGATGGCGCCTTGTTAAGACGAAGTTTTCAGAGCTCCTGACCAAACTTTAAAAGTCTAGCTTTATTAACGTATTATTTCGTTATATTTGCTAGATCAGATATCAGTACATTCAATTAAGAGCATAAATATGCCATTTGACAAACGCAAAGAGCGATCAGACATTGTCGACATCAGTATGGATGTCCACGATTATGCTTCTCCTGCTGTAAATGAGCTAGATCTCTGCGCGACTTCACTACCTGTCACTCCTAGCAAGCCACCTGCTCACAAAAAAGGTAAATCTTCAAGTCCAAACGAGCAGGCTGACTCTGCCATCATTTCCACACTCTCCTCGTTGATCAATACTCGGTCTGACACACTTGAAGGAATGATTAGTGCCAATGCTCTGAAGGTAGAAGGGCTGAAGAAAACGGTAGACTTTGTGTGTGCCGAAGTACAAGATCTAAAGAAGAATGTGAAAGATGTAGATTCCAGACTTAAAGATCAAGAACGTCTCACGAGCACCTGGGAAACACGCATTTCTGATCTAGAGAGATACTCTCGCAGGTGGAATTTGAGATTGTTTGGAGTGCCTGAGACTTTCAAGGAAGATATAAGATCCGAGGTCATTCGAATCTGCAGCGAGACTTATCCCGAGGCCAAGAGCAAGTACCCTGATGTTGTTGACACTGTGCATCGGTTAGGGAGGAGAGGTGACAACACAAAACCTCACGCCGTTATCATGCAATTCACCTCACGGGTTATCCGCGATGCCTTATGGAAAACTGCCAAGAAGTCCCAGTTTCTCAAAGACAACAACCTGCGCTTCGCAGAGGATCTGACTTCGCTGGATCGGGAGAGACGGAAGAGCTTGTGGCCCAGAGTGAGAGAGGCGAGGGCTGCTGGAAAAATGGCCTATTACGTTGAAGCGTGTGCGTTCATTGAAGGTGTGGAGATTACTTTGTGAGTTCCATCATGAGGATCGTGTGCTCTTTTCTAAGATTGTGACTGTTAACTGTCACTATTGCATTTGAGCTATCATCGTATTACAGCTGGACCTTTAAAATGATCATTTAAATTGGTCAGTTAAGCTCTGTTCATCTCAGTTTTCTTTTCATCTATCAGTCAATTTTGATGTTTTGCCTTTGTTTTGATTCACGTTAACAGCAGTTCATTGCTGTTTGTTTATCAATGTCGATATCGTTCATTTCTCTTAATGCCAGGGGTCTAAGAAACAATGTGAAGCGCAAAGCCCTCTTTTTGTTTGTTAAAAACCATGGATCAGACTTTTGCTTTTTTCAAGAAACCCATTCCACACAGGACGATGTTAAATTTTGGAGATCCCAGTGGGGCAGTGATGTATGGATGTCGTACGGCACAGAGCGGTCAGCAGGTGTCACCATTTTAAAAAATAAGTTTGCTGGTGAGATTATACACGTTGTCGGTGATCCCAAGGGTCATTTTC